AAATACAATTGAAAAACAATTCAACATCATCAAGAAAATTGGAAGACAAAATAAGAGATTTAAACTCCAGTACAAATAGGAAAAATAATAATGAGTGGATCGAAAAAATCTCAAATCAAATTACATAACACATAGAGAAGCATCAGTTTAATTAAAGCATTAATCAATATAATAAACTAAAAAACTAAAAAAAGGTGGGGTGGGGGGGAAGGTGGGGGGTGCAAATAAAACCAAATGCAAGACTTAGACAGAGAAATGGATACCAGTACATTTAGCTGCTTCTTGAGTAAGTGTATGGCCCACCATAAGAGCATTAAAAAAAGTAATGACCGTAAATTTTGAAGAGAGAGAAATGATTTTTGTTTCTTATTAAGAAAACAGTAAAATGATGGTTGGGAAAATAAATTGTCAAATTAATAATATAAAGAGAAATAATGGTGGTCATATCTTTATGTGATAAATGCGTGTAATAAGTTTTATGCTATTTATATGATATTTTTAAAAATGTTTGTATTTTCAAATTTTGTTGCATTTTTGTGGTTACATATGATATTCTAATTTGAATAATTTATAATTATAATATTCATTTTACATAATTTGGGACACTCATCAAAGCGAGGCTTTAGACGATCGCCTATGGCCATACTCGTGATATAAATTTTATTTAATTTTATGGGTGTTATTGTTAAGTTCAAAAAACTCATTTTTCTCCAAAGTCATTTTCAACTACGTATTCTTTAATAAAATAATTCTGCATGTTTCATATATGAATAATGTTATTTATCATTATAATGATGGAATATCGATTGTATGACAATCTATCTCGAATAATAAGATTGTTCAGTTCAATTTTTATGAAACAGAGATATGAGAGAGAGAAAGACAAATGTGAGAGATAATAGATTATCATATCACCGATATTCCATCATCATGATGATAAATAACATTATTCTTTCTCCGTAGCTTTTTCACTCTCCAAAATAGTAACGTTTTACAAAAACTATTCTAATAAATATCTACCAGACGTGGTTTAAATATTCATGTAAAACTTGATTCCATGTTGACAATTATTGATTATGTATTCATGTCAACGTGAATTGTATACTGAGGAACAAGCATTATAAATTGCATTTAATATAGGAAAATTGCATCTGAGGTATCAAACCTTTTAGGTATTTGCAGACTTTGACCAAACATTTAATTTGTACCAACAACGGTACCAAACCTTGAAAAAAATCGCAGCCCAAGTTTAAACCCAAAAACCGTCAGTTGATCCAGAAATTAAAAATCTGATAATTTTCTCCAAATAAAGTAAGGACATTTTGGGCATAATATATTTCCTCTATTAATTCAAAAATTAAAAAAACAAAAAACAAATAAAACCAAATCCAAGAACCTAGAGAGAGAAATGAATACCAGTACATTTAGCTGCTTCTTGAGTAAATGTATGACCACCATGAGAGTATTAGAAAAAGTAATGACCGTAAATTTTGAAGAGAGAAAAGTGATTTTTGTTTCTTATTGAGAAAAAAGTAAAATGATGGTTGAGAAAATAAATTGTCAAATTAATTATATATAGATAAAATAATGGTTGTTATATCTTTATGTGATAAATGCATGTAATAAGCTTTATGCCATTTATATGATTTTTTAAAAAATGCTTGTATTTTCAAATTTTGTTGCCTTTTTGTGTTTACATATGATATTCTAATTTGAAGAATTTCATAATATAATTTTTGTTTTTCTTCAACCAGGCAATTAATCTTACATAATTTGGGGTACTCATCAAAGCGAAATTTTAGGCGTACAGTCAGACCGGTCCTACTTGTGATTTAAATTTTATGGATGATATTGTTAAGTTCAAAAAAAATTATTTTTTCTCCAAAGTCATTTTCAACTACGTATTTTTCAATAAAATAATTCTGCATGTTTTCTATATGAATAATGTTATTTGTCATTATAATGATGGAATATCGATGATATGACAATCTATCTGGAATAATAAGATTGTGCAGTTCAATTTTTATGAGAGAGATATATATGAGAGAGAGAAAGAGAAATGTGAGGGATAATAGATTGTCATATCACCGATATTCTATCATCATGATGATAAATAACATTACTCTTTCTCCATAGCTTTTCCACTCTCCAAAATAGTAACGTATTACAAAATCTATTCTAATATATATCTACCAGACATGGTTTAAATATTCATGTAAAACTTGATTCCCTGTTGACAGTTATTGATTATGTATTCATGTCAACATTAATCGTATACTGGGGATAAAGCATTATAAATTGCATTTAATGTAGGGAAATTACAGCTGAGATACCAAATCATTCAGTTATTTGCAGACTTTATCCAAACCTTTAATTTGTACTACTCACGATACCAAACCTTTAAAAAAATCGTAGTCCAAGTCCAAAATAACGGTTTCCGTTAGTTTGACCCCAAAAACCGTCAGTTGATCCAGAAATTAAAAATCTAATAATTTTCTCCAAATAAAGTAAGGGCATTTTGGACACATTGTATTTCCTTTATTAAATCAAAAATTAAAAAAACAAAAAACAAAACTACAACCCCCACCCCACCCCACCCCACCCAACCCACATCTTCTTTTTCCCCAAGTTGCAGAACCCAAAACCAAAGCAACTTCCACCCTGCCGTCGACTGTCACCTCGGACAACACCACCTCAACGTCGGCCCCAACGCGGCCTTAATATTCAACACATAAGGGTTCGACAGTGCAGCCTTGGGGTTCGCTTCTTTGATTTGGTCAGCCCACACGAGGCCACCGTAAATGACGGCGGAGATAGATGCCAAATTGTCCAAAGGACAGGTTTTATAGACGGTGGACGAAGACTTCCGAATGCCGTCGACGCAAGAACATGAAATGAGTATCTTGATAAAGAGTTCTGCCGGAAGGATGTGATTTGCAACACCAGGGTACGAGATGTCGATGGCAACAAATTGTTACGATAAATTCAAAAAACCCCACAAATAATTTCATATAAAAAACAAAAATAAACACATTTGCTCATATGGACTGTTCTGAATTAGAGAGGAATAAGAAAGAGAAGAAATAAGAAATGGGTTTACAAATTTGTATGTATTATTTGTTGTGTGTGTAAAGCAGTATTGAGAATGGGTTTGTCTGGTTCTACAACTTGGGGAAGAAGGAGATGGGGGTGGGGTAGGGGGTTTTGATTTTTTTTTTAAAATTTTTAATTTAATAGAGAAAATGTATTATATCCAAAATGTCCTTACTTTATTTGAAGAAAATTATTAGATTTTTAATTTCTGGGTCAACAGACGATTTTTGAAGTCAAACTAACGGAAACCGTTATTTCGGACTTGGACTGTGATTTTTTTAAAGGTTTTGTACCATGGGTGATACAAATTAAAAGGTTTGGGCAAAGTCTGCAAATAATTGAAAGGTTTGGTACCTCAGCTGCAATTTTCCCTTTAATATATAACAATAACTATAAAATTGCTTTCTACATGATGCGATTGGGCATAGATTCTAGCAAGTTGATCAGAGCATCCTTCCTTCCTCCCTCTTTACCTGCATAAATTCAGTCATTTGGGTTTGCTCTTGCCTAGCCCTCCAACTAAAAGTGTGAACCTATGGCTGAGATATCAGAAGTTGGTGGAAGCCTGCACACTACAGCTTTGAACATAAAAGATGATGATTGCTTGACAATCTCTTCACAAAGCCTCAAATTTATACATTTTGTGCAAAAGGTCTCCTTAACCGTATAAGCTGTTATACTACGTTATACGGTTCGACAGAGGCAGTTCTACTGTTTTATTATACTCCATGACATTTATATATGTTGAATGCATGCAGTTGATAGCTAAGTTTATGGGCACGTACTTGATTCTATTCGCCGGTTTTGCGGCTGGGATGGTGAACAAGGAGATGGAGGAGAAGCTAACATTTCCAGGAGTAGCAATATTGTGGGGATTGGATGTGATGGTCATGATTTATACTGTTGGGCATATCTCGGGTGCACATTTCAACCCAGCTGTTACCATTGCTTTTGCCACCTGCAAGAGGTTTACATGGAAACATGTAATGTATACACACCGTCTCTTGATCATCGATTCGGACTTCAAATTTTACTTTCAACTAGTGAACTAAGATAATTTCGGCCGATGCCTTCCAATGCCATTTGCTAAGTTTGATATGCCATAAACGATAAAATTTTAACTTATTCTAGTCTAACGTACCAAACATGATACTTTAACTAAAATCGTAAGTTTTTTTTTTGTAGGTACCAGCCTATATCACAGTTTAGTTGCTTGCCTCAACACTAGCAAGTGTTACACTTGTACTAATATTTGGCAGCGATCACTTTGTTGGTACCCTTCCAACTGGCTCGAATATGCAGTCTTTAGAAGTTGAGTTCATAATCACATTCTACCTGATGTTTGTCGTAAGCGGTGTTGCCACTGATGATCGAGCAGTAATTAGTTTAACTTCTGCACCTTTTCATCATGAATTTATTATCAACTCCTTTTATTTGATATTACGACTAGTAGACCAAATTCACTGTTATACTTATAAATTTTATATGTTTACAGAGGGGAATTCGCTGGGCTTACATTAGGAGCTAGTGTAACAATTAATTCATTATTTGCAGGGGATTGATCTTACACGTTTTGGAGTTCTATTTTTTGATGACCAAATCGACATTTTCATCATACACACCTACGTGAAGGCTGGGTACAAGGGTCCTTAAGACAAGGCTTCTGTTTTTGCTTGTTCTTAGGCCAACTTTCTTTATAAAAATTTTCGTAAAATTATTCAAACATGTTTAAAAACAATTTCTTATCAACTGAAGCAGTTTTTGACTTTTCAAAAGTCGTGTCATATGAATCCTAATATCTTCTTCAAATATTTATGCCTTTTTCAAATATTTTAGTAGCAGTCTAATGAATTCAAAACCTTTTACCTTTTCTTGATCATACAAAAGTTGGGTTACAAAGTGTTGGCAAAATTCAGATCATTGATTTCAAATGATTTAAAAATCTGTTTTAAAAATGATTGGTGTAGATATTATTTTGTTAACCAACTTTGTAACCCAACTTTGTACATGTAGCATAACTCCTTCCTGATACCATATTGAATGCTCACTTTGAGCATATTTTGTTGTACCTAAAAGTCCATCAATTTTATTTTTAAGTTACGTTTTTGCTAAGGACAATTTCCAAATTTACTTATTTACAAACAAGATTTACTTTATTGTAACATTATAAATATCCTTAACACAGTACATATTCAAAGAATTGACAATTTACTGATTAGTATTCGGTTGGGATTCTTTGATGAACCCGGCAAGAAGTTTGGGACCAGCAATGGTGTTCAATCACTACAAGGGAATATGGATATACATAGTTGGCCCTATAACTGGAGCCATAGCAGGCGCCAGGTTCTACAATGTAATTAGGTTAACAGACAAACCTTGCCATGGAATCATAAGGAATAAATCTTTCCAGGGAAGTTCAGCAAATGTAACTTCAAGTGACCAATAATCTTGGTTGAGTAAAAAAACACTGTTGTCACCAAATTTCATGTTGGTCGCTGAACTTCATTTCATTTCAGAGTGATCATTTTGGAATGAAATTAAATTTTAATACTATTATGAAATTCCGAGTTAAGTTCTGTCATGAACTATCTTCTTCAAGCTATATATAGCAATCTCACATTGCTATTTTGCAAATTCAATTGTGTTTTGAATAGAACTATTTCAATTGTAGTGTGTCCTTGTAAGTTCCCATTTCTTGAATCAATCTTCAACATTATCTACTTTCAGATTATAAAAAGACACTCACGCTTTTCAATCCCTGTTGCCCAGTTTCTGAGCCATTTGCTTGACCCCAGTTTTTCGTCTCTTGTTCAGATGTTATTATTTTTATTTTTTAAGTAGTCAAGGCAATGTTAAAGATAATATTACACGTTTCTTAAGGAAATGGGCTTAGTCCATACTTTTTTTCATTCATGCATCATAAGTTCAAGCAATGACATAAAATAATATCACAATCTAGAATTGACATACATGACCTAGTACCAAGCTTGGCACTCCAATAGGGCAGCATACTTCAACCCAATGTTCTAAAATACGCAATACGCGATTGAGCATCAAGCATTACAAACATATGAGTGCTTATGCGAAGCATACGAGTAATTATACGTTTTATAATTTTAAATATTACTTTAAATATTCTAAACTAATAAATAAATAAAATAATGCATTCTTTGAACTTTATACATATTCCTTAAATTTTCAACAAAAAATATTGTTCAAAATCATAAATATTACAATTATTTCCTGCAATTAAATTAGACATGAACACAAGCTTAAAAAAAAAAACCTAAATCTTGTCTACTTCTTTTTCAGATTTCAATTCAATTCATCTCATCTTTTTCATTCAAGTCATCCGATTCAAAATCATCTTCATCGGACTCCCTTATGTTAACTCAAGAATTTCTATTAACTCTTTTAGATGGTAAGATATCATCGTCAACCCCCTCATTATCATCACAACTATCAATAATGAAAGATTGTGCTTTCGAACATGACTTACTAGTTAAGTTTCTAATTTATCCTTCATCAACCTTGTATTAAATTGGGCATAAATTAGATTGTTCATCTTTGTGGTGAATGGCAGATTCAAGAATGTTGATGAATTAGGGTGGTCGTTGATCGTTGACCGTCGATAGTCAACGACGGCAATAACCAAGTCGTTTATTGATATTTAATTAAATAATACTAAAAA